ACTTCCAAGTTCTTTATAGTTCTAGTTGATAGCTATAGTTCTAGATAGTATGATAGTTGATAAACATAAAATTAACTGCCAAGTGCTATATTGTCAGACTGTGCACTAATTGCATTTATGTGCAACTTTAACTGCCCTACATGCATTCTGCTCACTTGCTAACTCTCTGCAGGACAGTTTTGAACACCCCACAGCTCTTCAAACAGCTGACAGCATGCCACAAACATCCAGTCCTCCAGAAGAGACGCAGGCCAGGCCAGTAAAAGCTGCAAGTTTAAGGTTAGGCATATCTCAGGGAATGCTGGAACAGGATAGGGGCACTTAATCCCATCAGGAAGCTGGTAATCTCGCTCCCCAAAGGGCTGTTTTTACACTAGAAAACTTTAGAAAAACTTCAAGAAAACAGCCAGTTGTCACTGGTGCTGGCTGACCTCCCATAGCACTAACAACGTTCAAACTGTTGGTTTTTCCCAAGACTAGGATTTGGAGGATACTTACTGCTGCATCAGTTGACACGTGTTAACAGCCTACTATAAACAAGGCAATCTTGCATCAAAGCCTGCCCTGAGGTTTTATCACACGTTAACTAACTCTGAACCCTAGTGAAGGCCAGGTGGCAAGGAAGGAAAGCTACCAGCCAGGACTGAGCCACCCAACCTTCAGCCCTGCCCAAAGGGGTCAGTCCCGATGGTTCTCATGCTTCCAGTGGGTCTCATGGGACCTGACCTGAGACAATTCAACTCACCGGCCTGGTAGACAGCGACTCTTTCTTTATTGTTTTGCTCAGGATTTCTTTTCTGCCACCTTAGCAAATGGGATCGGCCGTGGAAGAGTCCAAAGTGTGCCAAAGCAAGTGTAAAAGGGGGTGTGGGGGAAAAGGCGTTGAACAAGTTGCCAGATCAGCTCAAGCTGTAACACATACCTTTTTCCTCACACCTGCTTTCAGTATGACATAATATTAAGGGTGCTGACAAAGGAGCTCCAGCAAGTCTCGCTGTTGTAGTTGGAAGAGACGCCACACCGAAATGCGGCTGTTCCACCAGGAGTTGCTGCCCTCACAGCAGGTACCAGTGCCTCGGCTGCTTCTGTGTAAAACCAAGCCCCCAGTGAAGGTGGGTTTAAGGCTCTGGACTTCGTACTTTTGAAGTGCAAAATCCATACATCCCTCTCCGTCAGCCCCTCTGTCAACCCCCTCAGGAGGAGAGGTTGAAACCTCCCGCAGAGAGGTGGGAAGGGCAGGTAGGGCTGCTGACCTCTCGAGCAGTCACGGTAAGGTGTGCTAGCCCTGGTGTGTCACCTCTGCACAAACACTGCCTGCCCCTCGGTGAGGGGGCTGTATAACACCGTCAGAAAATATCCTTCTGTAGGCAGGGCTTCAATTCATCTCTAACTAACTAGGTTGTGAGACTATCAGCTCAACTTATCACATTGTGAAGTATTAAAAATAGTATTCTTCCATTTCTTGCTGATATCAAGTTCCCCTCTTGCCTTTCCTTTTCTGGGGCCTTTGCAGTTCAGCTCTTAGCACTGAAGGGGTCTGGCTTTCCAAATGGAAGAATCTGAAAACAAGACTCAAAATGTTTAAAACTCTCTGCTCTAAAAACCTGCGAGGTGGTTCATCTGTAAACTCTGCTGTCAAAAAATGTGTTAATGAGTTACAAAGTATCCAAGCTTTACAGATACTTACCAATTATTCTCATCCTCTAAAACAAATCTCCTGAAAATCTTTCTGCCAGCACGATAATGTCCTGTTTAGTCTGCTGAACTCTACTAGTGCGTACCATGGAGGCAGGTGTAAGCAACAGATACACAGGACTCAAAAGTTTTGAAAATGAGATTCTAGAATGGAAAATAAGAAAATACAGAATTAATTTTAGAAGGGAAAATAAAAGTTTCTACAGTGTAAGGGTAAACAGAGCTTTTACGTGGCAGAGGGATAACTCATATGTAATTGAACGATGCAGGATTTTTAATTAAACTGTGGTGACGCCTTTCATGTCTGTGATACACAGCACGGTAAACAAACTTTGTGCGTGTCCAAAGGTGCACACTGTGAATTGCTCTATTTCACGCCTTCATGCCTCTATGCATGACCCGTGCAACACTGTCACGTTGTACGTGCGACCATGTACACTGGGGAGTTATGGAGGGGTGACAAAAAGAGCTCGGGAATGTTCGGTGTCTGGTCCTGCTCCGGCTCGTCTATTCCTCTGGGTGGTCCTTGTGCAGGACAGTGTGCAGTGAGGACTGCCCTGCCTCTTGTGTTGGCAAATTCATGGCTTAGGTTGGGAGTTACTGCAATTGCAGCCCAGCATCTCTCCACTCAGCTTTGGTACCCCGGAGGGAAATGAGAGAGCTCTTGCAGAGTGCCCCTGGGCCAGGCAGGAACTTGCCCTTCCGTGGTGGTGATGAAGGTGTGTGATCAAGATTGTGATTGTTTAGGTTACAAACTCGTTCCAGTGTAATGATATGGAAACTATTGCTGGGTGCAACCTGTACGCGTGGGGAAAGAGTTTCTAACCCAAACAATCAAAATGTCTACCACACACTTTCATCATCATCATCATCATGCTTCCCACAAAAGCCAGGGGCAAATAGATGAAGCAAAATAGCACCAGTAAATAAAAAATAAATAAAATCACTACTCTTGGGGCTTGTTTCTCCTGGTGGTTTATCTTCACGTGGAGAAGTAATGGGTCTGACTGCTACTGCAAATGCGAGATGTGAAAAAAAATCATGCTTCAAGGGAACAAGCACACTGTCCAACAGAAGACCTAATTTGCCAAAAAAGGACAGCAGATGCCCTCCTGAGGAAGACACAACTTATCAATGCTTGTGGAGTAAAGGTATTTACAACTCTGTGGACATCTATCTGCAAGTAAGTCTATGGACTCAGCTTTCTAAGACAGATCTCTAACTTTCCAAGGTGTCTTATTTTCTGATGCAGATTTGCCTAACTCGATTTCAAACTCTTGAAAGGAGAAAAATAAAGCTGTAATGACCAGCTTCAGCTACAGCCAGAAGATATCCCTCTCAACCCTTGACTTGTCAAAGTCCAGCATTACACTTGATAAAAAGGCTAAATGTTCAGGTCTACAGATACTTGCATCTGGCACAGGACCGTGTGCACACATGTGCGTGTAAACAAGGAAAAGGGGGAGGAGGGGGAATCCAAGAAAAATCAAAGGATTTTGACACATAACGGCTTTTACACGACAAAAATGTGCGAACAGCACAACAATGCAGTAATAATGTTTCTTTATGTGTCCAAATTTCATAACATCGACATTTTGCAGTTGAATTAATCTTGCATCCCTTGCTGACTATTAGAGCTGCTCTTGCCTTACCCTGCCTGCCTGATTTTTCAGATAAGCACTAAGGGATTAACAAGGTTGGGAACTGCATCTTATTAATTATAACTGCGCTTTCATGTGCAGTGTGTACCTGAATCAAATAAAGTTCCTTTGACAATCCCTATCTCGCCGCGTACGAGTTTATCTGATGCCCAAGTGTTGCTTGTCTCCCGGCAAAGCTGCCGGGCAGCAACTCCGGCGGGGGAGACCCGGGCTGGGCTGATGCTGCCGGAGTCCAGGAGAGCAAACGTGGGATACGTGACCCGCTCCCGCGTGTGCGGGGGCCTGGAGTCCGCAGCTCCGGCAGCAGCGGCAAACGCGGGCTGCTCGTAATCCTGGCGGGGAAGAAAATAGCCCGAGCGTGGATTTTGCCTTTTTTGGGTGTGAAATGTGCCGGGTTCCAGCATGAAACGCGTGTGCCGCCCCAGCGCCGGGACGGGCTCCGCTGGTGCGGGACGGATTCCCGCGGGGCACGTCCCCCTCGTCACGGACACACGCATCCCGCGTCCTGCGGGGATCCCGAGCGGTGCTGTCGGGGGGAATGGGGGGACACACGCGTACCGCGGGGGCGCGGCGGGCGTGGGACACCACCAGTGGCCGCCGTGCGGGATGGGTGCCCGCGTCACACCGGCGGCTGCCGAGCGGCAAATTTAGCGAGGCGTGACGCCGGGAACTTCAGCGACACCGAGTTGGTGACGGACGCCCTGTCCCGCAGGGTTCCCAGCCCGGCTTGGCCGCAGAGCCGCCTCCCCCCGTCATGTGTCTGCTTCAGTTTTGGTTTCTGTGGAGGCTTTCGCTGTTTGTTCAGCGAATCGCGGGCTCGTTGCGTGTCCTGAGCGGATTAGTTATTTACTTCTGTCTTCTTAGGAAACATCTTTAGGTGACGGCGAGCTGTCCACCCGGGGACAGGCGGAAGGGCGGCAGCGGGGTGGCATTTCGCGGCCGCCCGGTGTCACCGAAAAACGCCGGGGAAAAGGCGCGTTTTCGCTTGGAAGTGAGGACCGGGGTTTGTCACGGTCTGTCGCTCCGGCTGTCCCGGGCAGTTGACAGCCCGGGGGGTGTTTCCTGCCAGCAGAGCCACCCAGCCCGCCGGGCCCTTTGGGGAAAATAACCAGGAGAATACATATTTTGCTAGAACTAGATATTTTACTACATAAAACTTTTTTTTTTTTTGAGAAAAACAACCAACAACTAGTGCATTCCTCGCTGTACCTGCCGCCCCGTGAGACACTTCAGCCCGGTGCTCGAACCCCCGCTGCGGGGCGGGCATTTCCAAACCCCACTTGGCCCGGTCCAGCAGCCCCAGGTGCGGGTGCGGGTACCCCCGGCGGGGCGGGGGGGTGCGGGGGACACAGGGCACCGCCGCCGACATGCGAGGGGAGAATTCCTCAATGGCGCTGGCCACGCCCACTCCCCGGAGGGGTGGGGCTGGCGGGGACACTAGGCCCCGCCCCCCCGCGCGCACGTGTGGAAAACCCCCGCCGCTCGCTCCTCCCCCAAACCCCACCCCGGGTTGGCTCCGCCTCCTGCGGCGTTCGATTGGCTGCGCCGGCCGCGGCGGGCGGGGAGTGGGCGGGGCGAGGCGCGCGGCGGGCGGGCTCCTCCCACGTGCGGCGGCGCGGCGCGAGCACACATCCCGCACGTAGCCGGCGCGTTAATCGCGGCGGGGCCATCTGCTGCCGCGGCCCATTCAACGGGCGGTGGCTGTCGGGTGCGGTTCCCTCACGCCGTTCCCGCACGCCGCTCGGGTCTGCGGGAAGCAGGAGCGGCAGCAGCACCGCGGGGCTCCGGGCAGGCACCGCCGCGCAGTCCCAGCCCAAAGTTTTGCCTCGCCTCGCCTCGCCTGGCCCCGCACCCCCGCGGAGCCCTTGCCCGGCTCGGCCTGGAGCCGGCGACGGCCCGGCCGGCATCGCCTCCCGACGCGGGGGCCGGCAGGACAGCGTCGCCGCCCGTCCTCGCGGAGCCATGCCGCTGGGGCACATCATGAGGCTGGACCTGGAGAGGATCGCCCTGGAGTACGTCGTGCCCTGCCTGCACGACATCGGGTTCTGCTACCTGGACAACTTCCTGGGGGAGGTGGTGGGGGACTGCGTGCTGGAGCGGGTGAAGCGGATGCACCGCGACGGGGAGCTGGCCGACGGGCAGCTGGCTGGCCCCAGCCGCGGCGTCGCCAAACGGCACCTCCGCGGCGATCAGATCAAGTGGATCGGGGGCACGGAGGAGGGCTGCGAGGCCATCAACTTCCTCCTCACGCTGATAGACCGGCTGGTGATGTACTGCGGGAGCCGGCTCGGCAAGTACTACGTGAAGGAGCGATCTAAGGTAAGGGGGCTCGCCCGCCCCCCCGGCGCCGGCTCCCGGCCGGACCGACCCGCCTCGGCGGCTGCTGCCGGGACCCGGTGGAAAAGTTTCCACGGGCTCCCCCCCCACGCCGTGTGTCGTCTCCTCGCTCTCCGCGGGTGTCCGTGGCACAAGGCAGCCCCGGGGGGGTGTCCCTGGGCGGGAGGCACGGCGAGCTGCCCAGGGGATGCCCGCGGCGGGCAGTCGCTCGCCAGCCCTTGCCGGTACCGCGGGGCTGCCCGCTGCCAGTCCCTCGCCCCGCCGGTGCCGGCAGCGCTGCGGGGCTCTCACCCCCATGCCCCCCGCGGGGTCTTCGCCGGGCTCCTCCGTTGCCGGACCCCGGCCGGGCCCGGCCTCTGCACCGGGCATCGGTTCGCAGCCCACCGGGGGGCTGCGGGCGGCACCTGGGAGCCCGGCTGACCCCGCGGGTGGCTGCCGCTCGCCCGGCTGCGGAGAGCGGGGACCGCCTTGGCCGTGACTGTCCTTTGGAGGATTGTTTCAGGTGGAGGGAAAGGCTCCTAACCCCCCCTCCCCGCGCACGTACACGGCTCGGAGCCCATTATTTGGTTGTTGGCGCCCATGTGGTAGCGTTATCCAGAGCAGTTTCGATGGTCCCGCTCATGCCAGCGTCCTACAGCCGAAGAGGTTTTGGTTATCGCGCTGGGTGTGTGGCACAAGCTGAGGGATGCTCAGTTCGAGCACGGCAAAGTTTTTTTCTTTTTTTTTTTTTAAGGGGAGAGTTATTATTTTCTAGGCTTTCTTGCTCCAAAACGGAGAGGACACGTATTGTAGGATGCGGGTATCGTAGGGCTCTTTCTCAATGAAGTTTATTTGCACTTCTCCAATATCATTACTTCAGTTTGGGATAACTTGGTTTTTCTTTCCTTGTTTGTTGTGCTGTGACAACGTGGACTTTCTTGGAACTGAAGTTTGCTTCACTGTCCTGAATGCTATGAAAACATCCCCATTTCTTTTTTTCTGACTTAAGTTCTACAACACATAGCGCATCTTCAAAACATCCACTTCTTTTAGAGATATGCAAGAAATAGAAACAATGAAACTTTAAAAACACAACACAAGAGTAAAAAGTTAGGCATTTCTTTTGGCCCTTACTTGGACTGAACTAAGGGCATGTGAGTGGTGCTGAGGTTTGTTTTTTTTTTAAACAGAAAACGAAGAAAACAGTAGGTGATGGTGATGTTTACCATTTGCCCCTTAAAACCTGTGCATGCTTCCCCCCTGCACACTTCCACACAGTGGTGGGAATAATAAAAGGTTGAAACATTGCTCCTGTGCATAGCTCCACTGATCATCACTTCAGTTAAAGCTTGAGTAGATTTCATTTAAAATGTGAGTAGACTGGATTTCACTTATTCCTGGTGGGAGCCTGGTGTTAGGAGGTATAAATAACCATTCTGCTTTGGCATGCTTTTAAGGTCATCCTAGTTCTTTCTCTGGGTGACTTCTGTTTGCCTGATTACTGCTGAAGGTGCATTGCTGGTCACCTGTAGGGCTAAAAAACAGGGGCTTATGCTAAAGCATATATTGGACTGGAGTGAAAGGAGGTGGTCCAGCATTTGTATAAGGTATTTGGAGACAGAGTCAACTGGATGCCTGATGGCTGTTGGCACTAGCTGGGGAGAAGGGTCTTTTGGGGAGTGACCTTGTGTTGTAAAGATGATTTTAAAGCGCCGAGCTGTGGTGTTCTTGCAGTCATTTTTGTACAAATAGTAATAGCAGACAGGATAGAACTTGTTTTATAAATAGATACCAAGCTACTTGCTGTAAAGAGAGACTTTTGGCCCTTGCGCTTTATCGTGGAAAGTGTCAGACTCCAAAGAGCTCATGGAAGTGCTACACAACAGTCCAGGACTGAAAGGGACTCAATATTGTTTGTAAAACTAAGTGCAGAGGAATTTCCATCAGAAATTAATAGTGACCAGCCCCCTTGTTATTATAATAAGTACCATGGATATGTGAGGCCCTGGAATAGCAGCTGCCATCTGTAACTGAGATGTGGGACGCCTTCAGCAGGAAGATTATTCCTGTGACTAATCTACTGACTACTACAGTGCATGCAGGTTTCCACGTCACCTATAGACGTTTTCCTTCCACCATTAAACCTGCACAGTTTGCTTTTCTTCTAAAATGTTGTGAATGCATACCCAAAATCTCAAATTTACATGCATAATTGGATGCCCAGAAAACTTCCCATGGCTTAACATTTGGAGGACCATAGGGTGTTTCTGAGCAACTGGACCAGAACTTCTTAGCTGGAGATATGCTATTGTAATTTATTGTTTTGGCATATAGGTACTAGATGGGGCTAAGAGTCAGAGCAGTTTGTTGAAAGTGTAAGCCTTTGGCTACATGGCAACTCCTCTTGTCATGGAAATAAATCTATGTAATATCAGCCTCATGATTCTTTAGAGGTTTATACTTTTAAAACAATAGTATGACTTTAATCTTTTGCCTAACTGTTGGAAAAGAGGGAGAGATTTGCTTAGTAAATGAACTTCTGTCAGCTTACTGTCTGCTTTGTGTGATGTGCTTTGTGGTGGTTTTTTTTTGTAGCTACACAAACATACGAAGACAAGAATGACTTTTGTCCAAGAACGGAAGCTATCCTTGTAGCTACATGAGAGAAGTGAGTCAGGATTTTGCCATTTCCAAATGACTTCCAACAGCATTAAAAGAAAGTTAAGATTGCATCAAAGAGAACAGATGGAAGTAAAATTTTATAAGGGTACTGGATACTCTTAGAGCTGTTGGTTGACATTTGAAGGCTGATAATGAAATGTAACCTTTCATCTTTGCAGACCAGTGATCCAAATCTATCTTTAGGTCATATTTTAAAATATTAGCTGACACGGTTAAGTCAAAATAACCAGATAACATTCTTCTAAAGGTCTCTTCTGTTGACAGACCCAGTGTACTGCTTGTTGGCTTCTGCATTCTCCTCGACTAGAGTTTCCATTTCCTAGTAAAATAAAACCATGATTCCCCTTTTGTAGTAGGTAAATAGCTAAGGACCTCACATAGATGTTGTTGACCCAGGTTGAGTCCTCTCCTCAGCATAAGAAGATTCACATCCTTGTGCAGAGGGATGCTCTGGCCTGTGGACAGAGGTCAGTCTGATTTTTGAGGACCGGTCTCTGCTGAAGCTCTGACGGTTTCTGCTCAGTGGAGGAAAAAGCTGACTGGGTCATTTGGGCTGGGAAGTGAGGCCACAACTTGGTCTGAGTGGCCAGTCACCCAGAGTGCCCCCAGGTCAGGTGAGGCTCCGGGGACTGACCGTGGGTGAAAAGGTGATGTGCTGCAGCTTCTGACTCCTTAGGTCCCAAAGGGTTAATTGGGGCTTGTAAATTGCCTGTAAAAGGTTTGAGGCTACTTGCAAATGAATATTGCTCAGGTGCAGAGGTGGCAGTGGGGCCTGCCATGTATTATAAAATTTTCCAGGGGGGGCAATTATAAAACTTTGTAGGTGCTGAAATGTCTACCCTGTAGAAAAGTAATCCCTATATTATAAAGAAATAAATCAAAGCAACAATGTTACAAAACTTCCCCAAAACAAGGCAGGAAAATAATCCGAAAGAGAACACACCTGAGAGTTTTCTCTTTCAAGACTTAAAAAAAAATAAAAAAATAAAAAAATTCCTTTCTTAAAAGTTAGAAGCTGAAGATGTGCTGGGTGCGTGGAGTTTGGGATATTGGTCCATTTGGCAGTCTCAGATGCTGAGGAATCCTGAGTCCTGAAGTCCCTCCTTGGGGGGGGTCAGGAGAAGGGGGCTGGCAGGAATGGAGTGGGCTGGCCAGTGTGTGTAAACCTAAAATCTGTGTCCACAGTGGGATGCCTGGGTAGCTTATCTGCTGCTGAGAGGCTGGGGCTATTTCTTCTTTCGCGTTTTGCCTCTACAGGAGAAAAGCAACTCTCCCCGTGGTCAGGCAGGGTCCCAGAGTGATGCCATCGGTGCCTGCTGCCCAGGGCCACCTCGGCTGTGTCAGCGCTTGACGTGCTGCCAGCAGGCTGTGTTGGTCCTCACGGATGAGGGGTGGGAAGGTACTTTGAACTGGTGTGGCCGTGCTCTGCGTGGACTCTGCACCCCGGTCCTGACAGCAGCGTGTCCCACTGTGAGTCACTGGTACCCTCTTGCATGCCGTCATGGGTTGAAATCCGTGTCAGGGCTGCCTTTGGGGACCTTGAGCTCATCTCACACCTGCTGGACACCAGTGAGCCCTGCTGGTTAGAAAATGAGGCAGGAAGTTATCATCCGACGAGCTGACCTGTGTTGAAGGAAGCCCATGACTGATGTTTTTTTAGCTCAGAACCCAACTGCTTGCACTCAGTGTCAAGTACGTGGCCTGAAGTTTAGAAAAATGTGTTTCCAATAAGAGATAAATTTAGAAGTCCCTGTGGGATGTTAACCCCCTTGAAAACTTGCTTCAAAATCTCTGTAGGTCTTCCACTGTTTTATGGGATGTCTTCTGCATCCCCCATTTGTAGCCCTGACACCTCCCTGCTCACCCCACCCTGGTGGGCCCTCTCTGACTGCCGCGGGAGAAGCAGGTCTTTTGTGGTGGCACTTCATGGCTAGCGTGTGTTTGCTAAAAACCAGAGAGGGTCCTTTGGCCTACTGCATGATGGGGTGTTCTTAGGTAGGCTTTGAAACACGGTCTGTCTAGCAGGTTGTTCCCAAGGTTTCTGTTCCTGAGGATTGAAGAAATGCATGAAATGTCACAGGCTTGGGTTGAGAGATTTTTCCAAGTCCTTCATAACTCAGGTAAGGAGGTGAAATATTTTTGCATTTATGAATGAAGAAAGTAAAGTTCTGTTGTAAAGATTCAAATTCTATCCTTTGCAATTAAAACAGAGGGAAGTGCTGCATTTTCCAATTTGAGGTGTGGATGTAAGGAGCAGGATAACAGAAGGCTGGCTAGAGACCTGAAGAGCAGTACTGCCTATAGAAATGTACTGGTTTATT